ACCCCCCGGAATTCAGGTGACCATCAGGAAGGTCCCACCCCATCCCTGAATTCCCAGAATTCCCGAATTCCCGGTGTTTTTGGGGTTTTTGGGGTGACCCCGCTGACCGTTCTGGATCAGGATCTGCGAGCGCGTGAAGCGGCCGTGGATGGCGGCCATGTGCAGCGGGCTCTTGCCTTCCTTGCTCTGCAGGGACAATGGCAGATGTCACCTCCGGGATGGTGGCACCTCTTTGGGATGGTGGCACCTCCCCAATGTCACCTCCCCGGGATGGTGCCACCTCCCCAATGTCACCTCCCTGGGATGGTGGCACCTCTTTGGTGTCATCACCCCGGTGTCACCTCTGGGATGGTGGCACCTCTTCAGTGTCACCTCTCCAGTGTCACCTCCCCAGTGTCACCTCCGGGATGGTGGCACCTCCCCGGTATCATCACCCTGGTGTCACCCATCCCAGGATCCTGTCACCTCCCCAATGTCACCTCCGGGATGGTGGCACCTCCCAGGGATCGTGCCACTTCCCCAGGATGGTGGCACCTCCCTGGTGGCACCACACCAATGTCACCTCTCCAGTGTCACCTCCCTGGATGGTGGCACCTCTTTGGTGTCATCACCCCGGTGTCACCTCCGGGTTGGTGGCACCTCTTTGGGATGGTGGCACCTCCCCAATGTCACCTCCGGGATGGTGGCACCTCTTCGGTGTCATCAGCCCGGTGTCACCTCTGGGATGGTGGCACCTCTTTGGGATGGTGGCACCTCTCCAGTGTCACCTCCCAGGATGGTGGCACCTCCCCGGCGTCACCTTTCCAACATCACCTCTGGGATGGTGGCACCTTCCCAATGTCACCTCTGGGATGGTGGCACCTCTGCGGTGTCACCTCCCCAGTGTCACCTCTGGGATGGTGGCACTTCTCCAATGTCAACCTCCCCGGGATGGTGGCACCTTCCCAATGTCACCTCCCAGATGGTGGCACTTCCCCAATGTCACCTCCCTGGGATCCTGTCACCTCCTGGGATGGTGGCACCTCTTCGGGATGGTGTCACCCCACCACCCTGCCCTGGACCCTGAGGCTCCCGGATCCCGGGAATCTCTCCGATCCAAATCCCAGGGAATCTCTCAGATTCTGGGAAATCTCTCAGATCCCAAACCTGGGGAATCTCTCAGATCCCAGAAAATCTCTGATCCCGGGGAATGTCTCAGATCTCAATTTTGGGGAATCTCTCGCATCCCAATCCTGGGGAATCTCTCAGATCCTGGAGAATCTCTCCGACTCCAATCCTGGGAAATCTCTCAGATCCCAGATCCTGGGGAATCCCAGGGAATCACTCAGAACTCAATCCCAAAGAATCTTTTGGATCCCAGGGAATCTCTCCAATCCCAATCCCAGGGAATTTCTCCGATCCCAATCCTAGGGAATCTCTCCGATCCCGGGGAATCTCTCCAATCCCAATCCCAGGAAATCTCTCCGACCCCAATCCCAATCCCAGGGAATCTCTCCAATCCCAATCCCAGGGAATCTTTTGGATCCCAGGAAATCTCTCCAACCCCACAAACCCCTCATGCCTGGAAGTTGACGTCGGCGCCGTTGTTGACCAGGATCTCGAGGCAGAGCGCGCCGTTGGTGGAGACGGCGGCGAAGTGCAGCGGGGTGAAGCCGCGCTCGTTGGGTTGGTTGACGTTGGCGCCCACGTTCACCAGCTCGTTGGCCACCGCGTCCTGCCCCATGTAGCAGGCGATGTGCAGGGCCGTGTTCCCAAAAGAGTTGGGCTCGTCGATCTGCGGG